CTGCCATGCACTGGCGCCGACTACATGGGGGCATTGGGGCAGGTGCACCCATGGGAGCTCTTGGGGGGAATGCGGAAGTCCAAACGTGTTTAATGGTCATTCCGTTTCAGTATCAGTATCATGTAATTTTAATTTACATAACTTTGTATAAGAATTATACAAGTGGTCTTGGTATCCTGTCCTTACGTAATTTGTGGTCAGTTCTATGCTCTATTATTTTATGCTGCTATTCTTCATCTCTATTCTTTGATAATAATTGAGATAGTCTGGCACACAACGGGAAGTCTGGCGCTTACGCCGTAAGCCATATAATTTAGTTTTGCGCGTGGGTAGGGATGGCAATGATATATGTATGTATAGATGTTTTGTAAATATAAAAATACAGTACTCTCGCGCTAATGTGAACACATGGCTCTGTGAACCTTCCAGTAGTATGAACAGCCAGAATGAATACAGTATACACGTGTTAATGTGAACACACGGCTCTGTGAACCTTCTAGTAGTATAAACAGCCAGAATGAATACAGTAGGCTCGCGCTAGTGTGAACACAAAAAAACCGGATATGTTTATATTATCGAAACGTTCACACCATCGAAGGTCTACCTAAAAATGCAAAATACTGTCAGCAATGGTCTCTCAACTTAAAATTCAAGCAAAAAATTCAATGCAAACATATTCATTAAGTACATTTTCCCAGTTTATTAATGAAAGTGAGATGTAATTTTTGTCTGAATGGTTCTGGCTGACCAGTGGATGGCTACTTACTTCTTAGGCTTTCTGTGTCATTAACGCCAATATGCTCTTGCCTTGCTGGCAATCTCTTAGAATTTTTCACTTCTCATAAGGTCTGTTCTCACAAAAGTCCCTGACAGTTTGCAAACTGTCAGTATCAATCGCTAAGCTGAGTTGCTGGATTTATTTTGGAACGACGGCATTGAAAACATGCATGGGCGAAGCATTCTGACAGTTTGCAAATTGTCAGAGACTCTTCTGAGGAAGGACCCATAGGGAGTTGAAAAATAATTTTGTTTGTCTCCATTTTTACAAAACTGATTGACCACAACAACAACGAACTTACAGACTTTTTAACGTGCTCTTGACGCGTTGCCACTTGTTTATTACATGTGTATTCCACATTAGAGTGAATGCAGTAACTTAACATATCTGTGCGTTTATTCGGGGAACCCCAGAATCGGACGGAAACATCCGATGAAAACAACAATTTTGCAGAAAGCGGTTACATTCGTGGTCAAATACATTGTTCATACTACCAAGATTCTCAAAAGTTCACACTACAGAATATATTATGTATTCATTCTGGCTGTTCATACTACTGGGAGGTTCACAGAACCGTGTGTTCACACTATCGCGAGTTTACTTTACTATAATAGTACTCTGTAGTGTGAACTTTTGAGTATCTTTGTAGTATGAACAATGTATTTGACCACGAATTTAATCGTTTTCTACCTACTTTTTGTTTTCGTCCGATTCTGGGGTTCCCCGAATATTTCGAGACAAGGAAGCACAGATATGTTAAGTTACTGCATTCACTCTAATGTTGAATTCACATGTTATAAATAAGTGGCAGCGCGAAAAGAGCACGTTCGAAAGTCTGTAAGTTTTTAGTTTGTTTATTGTTGTGGTGGTTAATCAGTTTTGTGAAAATGCCAGGGTGACTTAACATTGCATAATTATGTTATTTTTCTGCACTAGTGAGGAAATTAATTAATAATTACCCCCATTACCCCCCCCCCCCCCCCCCCCCCCGTATATGCGCCCCTGATAACACCCCAGCAATGGGAAGAGTACTTTGAAGAATTACTGACAGAACAGCGGGCAGAGTTTAAAGAAGAAAAGAAACAGACACGAAACATAAAAACTGCAGGATCACTAATAAGAGTTATGCAAGAAAAAGTTAAAAAACACTGTAGCTTCTTGAAAAACGGTAGGGCACCAGGCCCAGGAGAAATATATGGAGAACTGATAGAGTATGGGTCCAAGAAACTCTACAAACATTTAACAAAACTATTTGAAACATGCATAGATAAACATGAAGTACCGGAAGATTGGAAAATAAGCTATTTAACAACGATATATATAAGAAAGAAGGTAGAAAAAAATGCTAGAACCACCGACGAATTGCAGTAACAAATACGTTGAGCAGAGTTTATGGAAAACTCATAAAAGCCAGAATAGAGAACGAGTATAAAGATAGTGAGGCAGAAGAACAGGCTGGTTTTAGAGCAGGAAGATCAACTGTAGACCATTTATTTAGTTTGACCCTGGTAATGGAAAAGAAACTAGCGTACCTATAACCAAGAACTCCATTTATTCTTTGTAGATCTAAAGAAAGCATATTACAATGTTCCGCTGAAAAAGCTTTGGGAAGCACTGGAAAAGACCAATATCAACTTAGAACTAATAAAGGCAGTAAAAACGCTCTATAGTGATGCAAAGACCAAGATTAAGCAGGGAAGCATAATCAGTAAAGGCTTTATAGCAACTAAAGGACATAAACAGGGATGCTGCATATCACCAACACTTTTTAAAATATACTTAGAACTAGCGCTCAAAGGGTGGAAAACAAATGTAGACACATTGGAATACCGCTCAATGAATACAATCTTTATACTTTAAGCCAAAGCAAAGCAAAGATGATCAAGTATTAATTGCACAGGACTATGATGACCTAGAGTACATGACACGAAAATTCATAGAGGAGTACGAGAATATACAACCCCATAGTCAAAAGCATAGTCACGTATAGTTCAAAAGTCTGGCCACTAAAGATCAGAACCGCAAAAATGCTAGAAGCAAATGAAATGGACTTTTGGAGGAGATCGGCAGGCAGGTCAAAAATGGAAAGGATAACAAATCTGAGAATTAGGGAGATTATGGACGTAAAACACACAATAATAGATGATAAAGAACAACAGCTGATTTGGTTCGGACATGTACAAAGAATGGCAGATACAAGAATGCAGAAGCAAATAATTGAGTGGAAGCCAGGGGGAAGAAGAAGACGCGGCAGACCAAGAAGAAGCTGGAGAATCGGAGTAGACGAGGAAATGAAAGACAGAGGCTTAGAAGAGGATGCCTGGTCGGGGATTCTAAAATCACGATTCGACATACGATTCGACAACGAGACGATTTTTCCGACGATTCTAGGTTAGAAATCTCATTGGAATTATACCTTTCGACACGACAAGGCCGGTATCGTTGTCGAGTCGTGTGTTGAATCGTGATTTTAGAATCTCGGCCCTGGATTAACAGAGATGGTTGGAGATCGGGAATCGGAAGACGTAGAACGTTATAAACCGATAATTACATATATATATAGGTACTTAAGAAAGTTCATATAAATACTCTAAGTGCTTATAAGTACTTAAAGTATCTATAAGTACTTAAATGCATATAAAACATACTCTAAATACCGTATACTGATAATAATAGGTACTGATACTTATACCGTTTTTTTTTCTTACTTTAAGTAAAATATTTAATACTTAATACTCAATACTTCAAGTACATTTCCTGAGTACCTACTTAGCTCAGCTCTCAGCTCTGGATCTAAAAAACTACGCGTATTTGTTTTTTTATGAATAAACAATTCCACACGCATATTAAATACATCTTATAAAAATAAACAATTTAATTATTATGCAAATCTATCTAATTTGTTATGATCTTTTTTTTAACAATTAAATCTTAATTCGAAAGGAATCGTACCTAATATTCAATCACTATCTATGAATAGGCACTGCGCTTGGCTGATTATTTTGAATTACTTCATCTCCAACTACTTCATCAAATTAAATGTACCATTTTTTGATATACATAAGTATAATATATTTTTTTCATTCAATGGTGACTAAAGAACAAACAAAGATTTTAACAAAGTCTCCATGTAGGTATTAATTATTTAACTTAATATGGAAATAGAAAGGTGTTTATAATTAGTAAACTGCATCGTAATGTCGAGTTAATATATGAAAATATAACATATTAAAAAAAATTGATCTTATTAATTATAACAAACAATAATTCAAAATGAATGCTTTGTCATAACTAGTTTTTGCCTTTTCAATTTTCTAGAATAATAATTAGTAGGTATGTATTTTGTTGCAAAGAATATTGAAATTAATTAATCAATTAAGTGTTCGGGATGTAGACTGAGACTTTTTGCGAAGAAAAAAAATCAAGTCAACTTATCAACTTTATCAGTTGACACAATCCGAAGCTACATATTGTAATTGTAATTATTCATTGCTTCATGAATGGATAATGATTTATTTATTTCAGGATTTGGAATGAGGATGTACGATTTCAGATTGAAAGTTTCCTAGTGTCAGTATTTAGGAAAGATAAAAATGTATATCAAGAAAAGTTTATTGATAATCAACACCCATGCCAGTTGAAGTTAAGCTTCTCTTCTACGTTTAAGTAAGCTTCATAATTATCAACAAAAAAGCCAAATATTAAGCTTTTATATCAAGGGGGGTGGCCAGACAAGAACCTTGAGTTTAATTTTATTGACAAACGGCGTTAGTTAATAATTTTTAAATAAATAGGTAAGTATTTTTGTAATTGAGAAATAATTTGAGAAGAAATTAAAGGAAGTAAGAAGTTAAGGAGAGTTATAGTCAACGATAAAACTCCACTACCATTTCTATATCTCGATAAGTTTGCCATAAGTTATTCAATTCAAACAAGAGAGAAGGCCTAATGAAAAATAACATAACGATCCAAAATCCAATTGAAAAAAATCTTTCTTTAAGAAGGGCGAAGGCATTTCTAAAGCTTTAAAATCAAAACACTCAAAACACACTCTTCTTTCTGTTTTTTCTCCCTGACAGAGAACTTGACCGCTATAGTTCTTGTCCGCAAATGAATCTCCAATAAAAAGTCCTGTCTAGAATAGTTTGAAGGACATGAATACGATCACGAACTTATAAAAGCTCTTCGAGAATGCAATTTTTTTCCATTTTATGTGCAACGATAATAATTGCACTTAATCTAAATGTAATTGTATACTATTTCCGCTTCGATCTTGATCTATGAAAAATTTCAAAAATGAAATTTTTAGTGTTTTTTGGAATCGGGTTTTTCAGTGTTTCGTTCGGTGAAGCATATTTTCAAAATGATTTCGATTTGTTTCCCGAGTTACCGTTGGGGGTGCCAAAAAGTGTTAACCCAGTGTGCAGGGAGCATAGTGAACTATTTGTGGATAATTTGAAAAATTTAACTTTGTGGGCTCACGAAAGTAAGTGTTGGATTTATTTCCAGATATTTGAAGAATACAATCCAAGATGTTTTTAAAATTTCATTTTTGCACTTGACGATAAAGTAAAAAGTTACATTTAGGTTCTCTATCTAGGGGAGAAAAACTTTTAGTTATTTTTATTCATGTCCTCAATGACATGATGAAAATCATGATTCTATTTTTTAATGAATTTTCGATAATTATACTGAAAAATCAATGAATTGGCAAATAATGCGGCACGTGGCTTAATCCTGAATCAATCTCAATTAATCCTATCTCTTATTTATAATAGCAATTTTCCAATGCAAATATAGCACAATTATTTTTAAATACAATGGAGATAGAGATAATTGTTAATTAAAAATCAGACTAATAAAGTTGAATTCAGATTTATAGACTTGATATTATATGATGATGGGTATTTATGTTTATTGGACATCCTGGTATTTGCAGGTTCATTATAGGCAATAGGAAGTACAGTTAATAATGAATAAAATATTTTTTTTATTCATTTTGCTATAAATTTAGACTGCTTGTACTCGGAGGTCCATTGGACTATTGTTATCCCTTCTTCAGGGTTTTTCCCTCCCCATTCTTCGATTTGTGCCAATGCATGGTTTTTACGAAGTTCAGTATTTCCATTGTCCCTATCTTTCCCGGGTCTTCCAGGTCCTCCAGGAAACTTTCCCCCAGGGAGTCGATTCTTGAGCCAGGAAGTAGAGCTCCCCGAGAGAACAAAATTTTCGTCTTTATCATTCTCATTTACTTCCCGATTACGTTGACAAGGGAGTTCTACTCCCTTAGACGAGAATTCGGCCCCAGGTAGTGTAAATGTTCCTCCTGCAGGGCTCGGCAGTGACATAGTAGGTGTTCTATTGTTTTATGTTCATCAAACCATTGTTGACAGTTCATCGGTCCCGAGGCCCCACCTATTGAGCATTGTTTCGAATTTACAGTGTCTTGTGATTGTCCCTACTAAGGTGCTCATCGATCTTTTATCCAGTTTTAAGAAGTTATTGTTTTTCTCTATATCCGCGTTCAGCCACAAAGCTCGTGATGTTACGCAGTCATTGAGATTGCTCGATCTTTTGCTGTGCAACTGCGTCATGCTTTTGTCTACTAAATCCACAGTTTGATCGTTGGTTGCGATGAACCGTGTGTTTCATCTTGGTCATTTTTCATTCCTAGGCTATCTCCGATATTACTATGTCCAGGAACCCAGCTCAGTTTGACATTACTGTTCCTGATCCAGGCAGCTCATCACTATTTTTGATTTCACCATATGTGACTCTAGTAGTCTCAGCGCTGCTGGCTATTCACATATATGGAAACATTGCCCGTCGCATTGTCCTCCCTTAGCAATGAACTTTTTCAATAGTAATTATTTTGGCATACAGGATGCTGCAATCATCCCCGAGTTTATATGACTCTTGAATGTTTAGTGCTTCTGAGTATACTCCGGCTGACGTCATCTGTGAAGATTGCTATCTCATTTTCCCTATATATGTATAGGGCTTTGTTCCCAATCTTTTCTTGACTTTTATCCTGTTCTCGAAATAATATTTGGCCACTATGTAGTCCGTTGGATTAGGTAAGGACTGTTTCGGACACTTGGTGGTCCATCATTTTGGCTGTATCCCCAAGTATTGTCGAGTGTCCATAATCAGTTTCCTCTCACACTTTGGATTTTCTTAGCCTAAGAGCTCCCTCTACAGGTGTGCCTCTTATGAACAAATCTATTGGCAACAAATTCAGTATAACCTCTAGGCCCGCGTGCGGTGTGCGTCTTTTTACTTCCGTTGTACCGAGTGCTGCCATTCTCTGTACTTTGGTGAGCATTTTTAAGTTCACCTTTCTGTCAATAGCCTTCCACCATACTACCACTCCGTAGCGCATAATGGGCCTCACTATCGCAGTGTACATCCACTGGATGATTTGCGGTTGCAGTCCCCATTTTTATCCGAATACTTTTCTGCAGGATGCCTTCAGGCATTTTTTTAATTCTATCTTCCGCTTTTCTCCTCCACTAGAGTTTGAGTCAATAACGATCCCTAGATACTTCATTTTTTTTGATAGTTCGAGGGTTTGACCCCCAACCGTTGGCACTCTAAAACTAGGGATTTTGTATTTTTTATGAACAGGACTAACTTGGTTTTTTGATGGTTTACTCCCGATCTGTTCTGTCCTGCCCATCATCTGAAGAGTTCTTTTAATGCTGATTGATTTCACCTATGGTTAATCAGCTAAAGCCCCTTACCATAGTACTACTACGTCGTCAACATACGCAATCAAATTTATCCTCCTTTCTCCTTTATAAAGGTTTCTGGAATCATCTTGATTACCAACAGCCCAAGAGTGGAGATATCACTCCTCCTGGTGGAGTCCGTCTGGTTGTTCTTTTACTCATGTTATAGTCACCAATTTCTGAATTAATGATTCTGCTTTCCAGCATTTTTTCCACTGTATGAAGACTGGTTCTACCTTCAGGTGCTCCATGGATTTTTCAATGGACACATTAATTACATTATCAAATGCACCCTCTAGGTTTAGAAATGACTAGGTATATACCTTATTTTCAAGAGATCATTCAGTTGCCGCAACTACTTGTTGTTGTTGCAATGTTGATCTGGGCATTGCGTTTTTATTTCCGTCAATTCTCTCATGTGTAGATCAATAAGCTAAAGTCTTTAACAAGAAGGATGATCTAACTAATTGGTTTATAGTCTTTTGAGGTTCAGATGCCTGATTTACCTGCTTTGGGTATAAAGACGACCTTCACTTCCCTCCATCTAGCTGGTGTATGCGCTAATGTTAAGTAATCAGCAAATATTTCTTAGCATTAGGTCTAGAATGCTTCCAGGGATTTTTGTAGTATAACTGGCATTACCCCATCCGGTCCTGCGGACTTGTAGGGTTGGAAGGTTCTTACTGCCCATTCCACTTTTCTCCTCGTAATTATCCTCTTTATCACTTCTGTGTCGGTTTTTGAGATAGATTCCAATTGCTCTTCAAATCTGTTTGTATCTGCTTCTGTACAATCTGGGAAGTGTATCTCCATTAGAAGCTAGAGGGTTTCAGCTGAATTCTGTTCACGTATCGTCAGACCTTCTGACTCCTCTAGGGACGGTCGAGTCCCTCGATAGGATTTTGTTCAGCCTGGCTGGCCCATGAGTCATGAGTGTCCATAATGTACTCACAGAATTCCTGCCATAAGGTACTTTTCGCCTTTCTGATCTCGCTTTACATCGGTTGAAGCTGGTTTTGTATTCATTCCAGTCTTCCTCTTTCTGCTTGGTTGAAAAGTTTCCTTGTTTTGATTCCCAGTTGCCTTAATTCCGTTGTCCACCGGGAGGAAATGGTGCTTTTGCAAGAGATTACTTTGGGAGTGATAACATAAATGAAAAACAATCACGTATTTGAAACTTGAATGATAATAAAAATCAAACGCAGTTTTCAGGTTTTTGCAAGTGATATTATCACTTCTTTATGTCACAAATAATAACCTTTGAGATACAATGAAAACATCCACGAATGCTTTGCTATAGCGAACTTTGGCCTGCGGGAATAAGTAAGGTATTTATATGGCCTGTGAAGGTAAAGATTTGTATTTCAGGGTTACCTATTGGCCTGAGTGGTGCCACATGCAAAATCCTCACGACAGTGAAAGTGTTAAACATAAGTGATCTTCTTCATTCCCAACTTGTTTCATCAACGTTCTTCACATGTCTGGAAGCTGTCTAGTTTTTTTTTTGCAATTATCCTATCAGTTGACTTTTTTAACCCTATTTGTCTTTACCAGTTTCTCATTTCTTACTTTCTGCTCTCCCAATTATCTATCAAACTTTTTTTTCGATCACTCTGTTTTCGCTTGTTGAGGATGCCTCTTTCCGTATGCGGTATATTTAGATACCATTCACTGTTCCGAGTTTTGAGATGATCCACGTATCTGGTATGTTCACTTTGTCAGCGTCTACTGGTTTCTAATATGCCAATTTCAGAAGTTGAACCAGGATTTTCAACTTCAGATAATATTGTTCTACAATTGAAGTATTCAGGGTATCTATTCTCGTAACCGGAGAACAACGTTTTTTGTCAGTGTTATGGAAATATAAATATGGGCAACTGCGACTAAGACAGAACTTCTTTCTCATGAGAACGCTGCTCCCCTGCTACGAGGATAAAACCCCGGTGTTTAGCATAATCCATTTGAATATCTGGATTTGCAATCTTGAAATGCTTAGATGAGTTTTTTGACAAGGCGGCTACACCCACAGTAAATATAAATCATGACCTGTTCACAGGGCTTCTTGATAAAAATCACCCCTTGTATAAGACTTTTTCTATCAATGAACTCGAGTGTATTTTAAAGACAACTGAGAATACAGCACCCGGTTACGATGACAAACAATAGTAACAATACATACTCTATGCTATCACAATTGCCTTTGAATGCCAAGTTTTTCATGTTAGAAATATTTGATGAAATATATCTTTATTCTTTTCATGTGAAAGATTTTGAATAGGTAAAGTTTGTTTCGCCAGGGTTTGTACTTGCCACCAGCATTTGCCTTCCTTGTTTAACAAATAAAAATTGACTGAAACAAATTAATGACGTCAAAAACGTTTGTCAATTCTTAAAAGAAAAGTCATTCATTTTAATTTGTCAAAAAAATTGAATGTGTCATATGAATTAATCTACGACAACCCTTTTTTTTTTCAAGTTTCAAGGTCAAGTATGAACCCTGGTGAAACGAACTTTATGTAATAATCGTGCCCATTCAGAAACCTGGCAAGGATCCCAATAAGGGAAGCTCCTATCGGCCTATATACCTATTATCATGTATACTAAAAATCTTAGAACGCCTAATTCTAATTAAACAGCTAATCGAGTTCTGGCTTTTAAATCATGATCTTTTACCATAGAATCAGTTTGGGGATAGAAAAAGATTTGGCTCAGTAGTTGTAGATATTCAAAACTGCTTTACAGGTAATGAATATTT